CTCCCACCTGACTTCTACTCTCCATGCCTTACTCACACCTGACCTCTGTTCTCCATGCCTTACTCACACCTGACCTCTGCTCTCCATGCCTTACTCCCACCTGACCTCTACTCTCCATGCCTTACTCACACCTGACCTCTGCTCTCCATGTGTTACACTTGACGTCTCCTCTTGGCGCCTTATTGCTCCTGACCTCTGCTCTCCATGCCTTACTCCCACCTGACCTCTACTCTCCATGCCTTACTCCCACCTGACCTCTACTCTCCATGCCTTACTCACACCTGACCTCTGTTCTCCATGCCTTACTCCCACCTGACCTCTGTTCTCCATGCCTTACTGACGCCTGACCTCTGTTCTCCATGCCTTACTCATACCTGACCTCTACTCTCCATGCTTTACTCACACCTGACCTCTGCTCTCCATGCCTTACTCCCACCTGACCTCTGTTCTCCATGCCTTACTCCCACCTGACCTCTATTCTCCATGCCTTACTCACACCTGACCTCTATTCTCCATGCCTTACTCACACCTGACCTCTGCTCTCCATGCATTACTCACATCTGACCTCTGCTCTCCATGCCTTACTCACACCTGACCTCTGCTCTCCATGCCTTACTCCCATCTGACCTCTGCTCTCTATGCCTAACTCATACCTGACCTCTGCTCTCCATGCATTACTAACACCTAACATTTCCTCTCCTAGCGTTACTTACACCTGACCTCTGCTCTCCATGCCTTACTCACACACCTGACCTCTGCTCTCCATGCCTTACTCACACCTGACCTCTGCTCTCCATGCCTTACTCACACCTGACCTCTGCTCTCCATGCCTTACTCACACCTGACCTCTGCTGTCCATGCCTTACTCACACCTGACCTCTGCTCTCCATGCCTTACTCACACATGACCTCTGTTCTCCATGCCTTACTCCCACCTGACCTCTGCTCTACATGCCTTACTCCCACCTGACCTCTGCTCTACATGCCTTACTCACACCTGACCTCTGTTCTCCATGCCTTACTCACACATGACCTCTGCTCTCCATGCCTTACGCACACATGACCTCTGCTCTCCATGCCTTACTCACACCTGACCTCTGCTCTCCATGCCTTACTCACACCTGAACTCTGTTCTCCATGCCTTACTCCCACCTGACCTCCGCTTTCCATGCCTTACTCACACCTGAACTCTGTTCTCCATGCCTTGCTCATACCTGACCTCCGCTCTCCATGCCTTACTCCCATCTGACCTCTGTTCTCCATGCCTTACTCACACCTGACCTCCGCTCTCCATGCCTTACTCATACCTGACCTCTGCTCTCCATGCCTTACTCACACCTGACCTCCGCTCTCCATGCCTTACTCATACCTGACCTCTGCTCTCCATGCCTTACTCACACCTGACCTCTGTTCTCCATGCCTTACTCATACCTGACCTCTGCTCTCCATGTCTTACTCACACCTGACCTCTGCTCTCCATGCCTTACTCCCATCTGACCTCTGTTCTCCATGCCTTACTCATATCTGACCTCTGCTCCCACCTGACCTCTGCTCTCCATGCCTTACTCACACCTGACCTCTGCTCTCCATGCCTTACTCATACCTGAACTCTGCTCTCCATGCCTTACTCATACCTGAACTCTGCTCTCCATGCCTTACTCCCATCTGACCTCTGTTCTCCATGCTCTTACTCATATCTGACCTCTGCTCCCACCTGACCTCTGTTCTCCATGCCTTACTCATACCTGATCTCTACTCTCCATGCCTTACTCCCATCTGACCTCTGTTCTCCATGCCTTACTCACACCTGACCTCTGCTCCCACCTGACCTCTTCTCTCCATGCCTTACTCACACCTGACCTCTGCTCTCCATGCCTTACTCCCATCTGACTTCTGTTCTCCATGCCTTACTCATATCTGACCTCTGCTCCCACCTGACCTCTGCTCTCCATGCCTTACTCATACCTGACCTCTGCTCTCTTAACATTACTTACTAAAATACTTTCAAACAGCCCATCAGACAAGTGCTGTTTAATGGTATTTGAGTTTATGTAACACTATTGGTTTGGTTCACAGCAGCAGCATGCATTTATTTATCATTATTTTTTATTCCAGTTTTTTATATTTTGTATAGGTGTTCATTTTATTTTTACTACCATTATTTGCACCTGACCTCTCCTGCTCTCCATGTGTTACTTATACCTGACCTCTCCTGTCCATGCCTTGTTTACACCTGACCTCTGCTCTCCATGCATTAGTTACATCTGACCTTAGCTCTCCTAGATTTACTTACATCTGACTTTAGCTCTCCTAGCTTTACTTACATCTGACCTCTCCTCTCCATATGTCACTTACACCTGACCTCTGCTGTCCATGCCTTGTTTACACCTGACCTCTGCTCTCCCAGTATTATTTACACCTGACCTCTATTCTCCTAGCATTACTTACATCTGACCTTAGTTCTCCTAGCTTCACTTACATCTGACCTCTACTCTCCTAGCATTACTTACATCTGACCTTAGTTCTCCTAGCTTTACTTACATCTGACTTTAGCTCTCCTAGCTTCACTTACATCTGACTTTAGCTCTCCTAGCTTTACTTACATCTGACCTTAGCTCTCCTAGCTTCACTTACATCTGACTTTAGCTCTCCTAGCTTTGCTTACATCTGACCTTAGCTCTCCTAGCTTTACTTACATCTGACCTTAGCTCTCCTAGATTTACTTACATCTGACCTTAGCTCTCCTAGCTTTACTTACATCTGACTTTAGCTCTCCTAGCTTTACTTACATCTGACCTTAGCTCTCCTAGATTTACTTACACCTGACCTCTAGCTCTCCTAGCATTACTTACATCTGACCTTAGCTCTCCTAGCTTTGCTTACATCTGACCTTAGCTCTCCTAGCTTTACTTACATCTGACCTTAGCTCTCCTAGCTTTACTTACATCTGACCTTAGCTCTCCTAGATTTACTTACATCTGACCTTAGCTCTCCTAGCTTTACTTACATCTGACTTTAGCTCTCCTAGCTTTACTTACATCTGACCTTAGCTCTCCTAGATTTACTTACACCTGACCTCTACTCTCCTAGCATTACTTACATCTGACCTCTACTCTCCTAGCATTACTTACATCTGACTTTAGCTCTCCTAGCTTTACTTACATCTGACCTTAGCTCTCCTAGATTTACTTACATCTGACTTTAGCTCTCCTAGCTTTACTTACATCTGACCTTAGCTCTCCTATATTTACTTACATCTGACTTTAGCTCTCCTAGATTTACTTACATCTGACTTTAGCTCTCCTAGATTTACTTACATCTGACTTTAGCTCTCATAGCATTACTTACATCTGACTTTAGCTCTCCTAGCTTTACTTACATCTGACCTATACTCTCCTAGCTTTACTTACATCTGACTTTAGCTCTCCTAGCTTTACTTACATCTGACTTTAGCTCTCCTAGCTTTACTTTCATCTGACCTTCGCTCTCCTAGATTTATTTTCATCTGACCTTAGCTCTCCTAGATTTACTTTCATCTGACCTTAGCTCTCCTAGATTTACTTACATCTGACCTTAGCTCTCCTAGCTTCGCTTACATCTGACCTTAGCTCTGCTAGCTTCACTTACATCTGACCTTAGCTCTCCTAGCTTTGCTTACATCTGACCTTAGCTCTCCTAGCTTTGCTTACATCTGACCTTAGCTCTCCTAGCTTTGCTTACATCTGACCTTAGCTCTCCTAGCTTTGCTTACATCTGACCTTAGCTCTTCTAGCTTTACTTACATCTGACCTCTGCTCTCCTAGCTTTGCTTACATCTGACCTTAGCTCTCCTAGCTTCGCTTACATCTGACCTTAGCTCTCCTAGCTTCACTTACATCTGACCTTAGCTCTTCTAGCTTTACTTACATCTGACCTTAGCTCTCCTAGCTTTGCTTACATCTGACCTTAGCTCTCCTAGCTTCGCTTACATCTGACCTTAGCTCTCCTAGCTTCACTTACATCTGACCTTAGCTCTCCTAGCTTCACTTACATCTGACCTTAGCTCTCCTAGCTTTGCTTACATCTGACCTTAGCTCTCCTAGCTTTACTTACATCTGACCTTAGCTCTCCTAGCTTCTACTTTTACATCTGACCTTAGCTCTCCTAGCTTCGCTTACATCTGACCTTAGCTCTCCTAGCTTTGCTTACATCTGACCTTAGCTTTCCTAGCTTTGCTTACATCTGACCTTAGCTCTCCTAGCTTCACTTACATCTGACTTTAGCTCTCCCTAGCTTTACTTACATCTGACCTTAGCTCTCCTAGATTTACTTACATCTGACTTCTGTTCTTCGTGCTTTACTAATACCTGACCTCCGCTCTTCGTCCATTCTTCAATTTGCCACACCAGCAATTTACTTCATCACACATAGCATGCCACATCATTTCCCTACTCCTGGTGCCCATTTTATTTTGTCTTCATACCTTGAATGTTTGCCTCTTGTTACAAAAGACTGTGACCAATTGTTTCAGAATTTGTTAAAAATGTGGTATGATTTTTCGAGTTTTGCTATAAATGGAATGGGGGTCTGGTTAAATGTCAGCATAGTCAGTAGGGTGTCCCCAAATTTCATTTTGAAAAACTGGTAACCTCACTTAACAAGGACCTCTCATTTCTGCTATGCTATCACATAGGGAGCTATCAGTTTTAAAACGATAGCAATAAAGTTAAGTGTAAAAGTGTAATACAGTTAAGTGTAAAAGTTTAAAATAAGTACAAAAATGTAAAAAACACACAATACATAAAAAAAAACAAAAAAAAGCCCCACGCCCAGGTAGAGACATACATAAATGTACACATCGGGTGTGCCTAGGTACAAAAACCACAATGTCAGTGCATATATTAGGTTTTGCCAAGCACTTCAGAGTGAAAACAATAATAAATCCTCCTAAAGTGATATTAAAGCCTAGGGTTTTTTTTCCTTCTTATGCTGCTGTAAAAGCTTACTATATGTGCTGATCACATGCACTCTCCCAAGAAAAAAAAACCTCTCTAGCAATAAACACCAAACTGAACATGTGCAGAGTGTCTCCACATGAAATTTCTTATCAGGAGATAAGAGGGGGACACTGGAAGAAGGGGAGGATCAGAGAAGACAGGATCAAACAGCATTTTTACACAATGCAGAGGATTAACACCTTAGGTTCTACAGTGAGTATATCAAGCATGCTTTACTGCATATATAGACTGATTTTACTGTTGTGCTTTAGTAACACTTAATGGTTACAGTATAAATTCACGGGAATCACATTGCTCACAGCAACAGTCTCTCTGAGGTAGTGTAGGCTTTAGCAATGGTTTAGCTGGTGCAATGGTGCCCATACCTTTAGAATGATCACCTCCATATACAGTGGGGCAAAAAAGTATTTAGTCAGCCACCAACTGTACAAGTTCTCCCACTTAAAAAGATGAGAGAGGCCTGTAATTGGCATCATATGTGGACCTCAACTATGAGAGACAAAATGAGAAAAAAAATCCAGACAATCACATTGGCTGATTTGGAAAGCATTTATTTGCAAATTATGGTGGAAAATAAGTATTTGGTCAATATCAAAAGTTCATCTCAATACTTTGTTATATATCCTTTGTTGGCAATGACAGAGGTCAAACGTTTCCTGTAAGTCTTCACAAGGTTGGCACACACTGTTGCTGGTATGTTGGCCCATCCTCCATGCAGATCTCCTCTAGAGCAGTGATGTTTTGGGGCTGTCGCTGGGCAACTCCCTCCAAAGGTTTTCTATGGGGTTGAGATCTGGAGACTGGCTAGGCCACTCCAGGACCTTGAAATGCTTCTTACGAAGCCACTCCTTTGTTGCCCGGGTGGTATGTTTGGGATCATTCTCATGTTGGAAGACGCTGCCACGTTTCATCTTCAATGTCCTTGCGGATGGAAGGAGGTTTGCACTCAAAATCTCACGATACATGGCCCCATTCATTCTGTCCTGTACATGGATCAGTTGTCCTGGTCCCTCTGCGGAGAAACAGCCCCAAAGCATGATGTTGCCACCCCCATGCTTCACAGTAGGTATGGTGTTCTTTGGATGCAACTCAGCATTCTCTCTCCTCCAAACACGACGAGTTGTGTTTCTACCAAACAGTTCTATTTTGGTTTCATCTGACCATATGACATTCTCCCAATCCTCTTCTGGATCATCCAAATGCTCTCTAGCAAACTTCAGACGGGCCGGGACATGTACTGGCTTAAGCAGGGGGACACGTCTGGCACTGCAGGATCTGAGTGCCTGGCGGCGTAGTGTGTTACTGATGGTAGCCTTTGTTACATTGGTCCCAGCTCTCTGCAGGTCATTCACTAGGTCCCCCTGTGTGGTCCTGGGATTTTTGCTCACCATTCTTGGGATCATTTTGACCCCACAGGGTGAGATCTTGCGTGGAGCCCCAGATCGAGGGAGATTATCAGTGGTCTTGTATGTCTTCCATTTTCTAATTATTGCTCCCACAGTTGATTTGTTCACACCAAGCTGCTTGCCTATTGCAGATTCAGTCTTCCCAGCCTGGTGCAGGTCTACAATTTTGTTTCTGGTGTCCTTTGACAGCTCTTTGGTCTTCACCATAGTGGAGTTTGGAGTGTGACTGTTTGAGGTTGTGGTCAGGTGTCTTTTTATACTGATAACAAGTTCAAACAGGTGCCATTGATACAGTTAATGAGTGCAGGACAGAGGAGCCTCTTAAAGAAGAAGGTACAGGTCTGTGAGAGCCAGAAATCCTGCTTGTTTGTAGGTGACCAAATATTTATTTTCCACCATAATTTGCAAATAAATTCTTTCCAAATCAGCCAATGTGATTGTCTGGATTTTTTTTCTCATTTTGTCTCTCATAGTTGAGGTCTACCTATGATGCCAACTACAGGCCTCTCTCATCTTTTTAAGTGGGAGAACTTCCACAATTGGTGGCTGACTAAATACTTTTTTGCCCCACTGTAATTGGCTATCGGTCTCTACCGCCTGGTCCCATCTCAAATAAATTGCACCCAATGTTGTATTTCTACGTCGTAGCATCTATGGAGCCTCCTTACTTCCTATGACTTCCAACCACACAACCAACCACCCACATTCGGGGCACTTCTTCCTATGTATATACACCACTCTAGCAGGATGTGACCTAGTCTACGGCTGACATGCCAATGCACGCAGTTAACCCCAATGCTCCCAGACATTAACACACATAATGCAATGCAGTGAACAATTGGTACCTGCCAACGTGCGAAAATGTGTTTATGCATTTAAACATGTAAAATTATTCATCCATTTCTTTTGCTTTATTATCAGTTGCATATATTTATATTCAAATTATATTTTGGCACCTTTTCTGTAAAATATAAAACACTATGGCCGTCTGTTACTGCATGGATAAACTATTTAGAAGTCATACCAAATATAAATGGCTTAAAGCAACAGGGTGTCTTTTCTGCTTTAGCAACTTCAGTTCACAGTGCTCTGCCAGAACACACATATCTTCACTGTTTTACTATGCATCCTGTTGCTTGAAGTCATTTTATATTTCTTACGAGTTTTAAACATTTTTCCACGTTGTAAAAGTTAACGTTCTATGGTGTTCTAACTGTTACAGCATGATCAAACCATTTGTTCTTTTACAGCATGGATAAACTGTTTAAATGTCATCCGAAATATAAAATGACTTCAGAATGGAATTGTGGAAGGTTGTCCTCACAGTTCTTCAGCAAACAGCTGGGGCACGCAGATACACTTGTCTCAGCTGTGGGCTTACTGTTGGCTGAATCAGAACGTTTCATTGAAAGAAAATAAAGAAAACATTAATTAACAGTTTCAAGAAATATTTATATAAACTTTAAAGATTTTAATGGAGGAAATGGGTACCGGGTGAGGGGGCATAGAGCAGGGAAAGACCCTGTCACAGGGGGATTGGGGGACAGGGCTTGGGTTAGAAGAATGGGTAGTGTAGGAATGTGGATGGGGGTACGAAGGATAAAACAGGGCAAGGTGAGTAGGTGTAAGGGAATTCATGTAAGGCGACTGGTGCATAGAAGTGCGCATGCGCGCAACATCACGCATAGAAATGAGCACGAGCGCATTGCTAATAAAGATTAACATAGGCTCACGCATGCACGCATGCAGGTGCACGCTCGCGGGAGCGTGCCCACAGTTTCTGGCACCAGACGGACTATTTAAATGAGCCTGCTGTATCCTGTGTGTATCAGTTACTGACCCGGCTTGCCGTTGACCTGCTCTTGGATTCTATTTATGTTTCTGCTCATCGGTTTCTGATCCTGGCTTCCTTCTGACCTTGTCCCTGTCTGTTGTTCCGGTACCTCATTGCCTGCTCGTTGCTGACCCTGGCTATTACTCTGAATATGCTTCTGGCTCTAGTTTGGCTCTACAGTCCTGCTGAGTGCTTGTCCTGGCTATCCATTATATCAGCTCCGGTTGTCACGGTGTGTTCTGGCCTCATGCTTTTCAGAAGTTCCGGCAAGCCACGTACCCAGATATTGCAGTTCCAGTGGAATGCTTCCTTATCCTCAGCTGGCCGTTCCAGCATCTCCTCTGTTCCTGACTGGATGCCCTGCTTGATTTACCGAGGTTACACCTCCAGCCGCAAGTTCTGAAATCAATATCTGCAGACACTCGTGTTTCTCCTGTCCCTCGGCACCATCTTGTCCACCTTCAATGGGGCCTGGGTTGGAGATAAAAGAGAGGCTGACTTCGTCAATTCAGATTTCTATCAGGTACGTGACAGTAGGGGTGCACGGGTGCCCAGGGATGAGGAGTGCAGGTTGTGGCAATGGCTGTTGTGTGGATCACCCATGAAGGGGGAAGATCTACCTGTTGAATGCACCCACAAGATAAATTAACCTCATCTGTGGCCTGCATTTCATGCTCAGTGGAGAGACCTGTAGTATAGTGTGGATACTGTGACATATCCTTACACAAGGGTGAAGGGGCTACTGCCCTGCCATCAGTGCACCTCCATGAGTGACATAGAATCTCATCATCCATGGAAATCCATCTTGACTGCTGACGGTGTGCCCCCAGCTGCCTTGAGACCCTCTGGTTGGTTTCCTCTTCCACTGCTGCAATATCCTAGAAACATAGAACAATTGTTATACCATCAATACAGACAGATGGCTAGATTAGAGAGAAAGAGGCAGATAATAAAATATAGTCAATAGATAGATATGTCGGCAGGTGTCTGCCATTACAGTCGTGTATTTACGGATTAAAAGGGAAGTATGATCTAAGCTTTTTTGGCCATACTTCTCTTCTGGGTCACAAGAGTGCATTTACGTTTGCTTTCCTGTGACCCAGAATCAGCTAAAGCTTGCTGTCTGCTGAAATTACAGAACCACTCCAGGCTCTGGAAGAATCCCAACCATATTGTTGGGATCCATCCAGCTGCCTGATTGACAGTTGGCGCCGACTCTCAGCGTGCAGCAAGCTGCGGAGATGTGGCTGAAGGAATAGAGAAAGGTGGAGCTATTCACAGCTGGCCCCCTTGAATAGGCTGTCATTGTCAAGGCTACAAGTGATGCTGGGGCCAGGAGAAGGGGCTGCCAGCCTGTCATCTTGGTCCCCACAAAGATGAAGATTGCAGAGCATTGGGTGCCATAGAGGCCATTCCCCAGCAGCTATTTCTGTGCAGGAAGAAGGTGAAAGAGTTCCAGTCATCTGCTCACAGCCCGGGCTGCAGTTACAGGTTGTGTACTCCCAACTAAATTTGCTGTGTAATTAACGGAGTCACTACCAAATTAATGAGTATAGTAATAACGTCTGCTGCAGCAATTTGAGTGTTTCTGTTAATTCTCCAGCTGTGTGCAGCACAGCACCTAGTGTTCCTGATGCAATTATTTAAAGTCCTAATACTGCGTCTGAAAGTAATGTTGGTGTTTTAAGTGTCCATGTAAAATATCTACAATATTCCTGACATTTGCTGAGAGAATCTATGCCTTGTGAAAATTTTAGGTTTTCACCTTTCAGCCAGGGCCGCTGCAACCATTAGGCGAACTAGGCAGCTGCCTAGGGTGTACTGCCACCTAGGGCACAGCCACTGTTTCCCTGTTCTCCTGCTTGATGAGAATTGTTTCACATAGAGTGTTTTTTTTACCTCTGGTTTTATGTTCTCTTTGCTTTTCCTACTTTAATTGAATTGTTGCAAAAAAAATGTCATGCTGGTATTTGTAGTCTGCCTAGCCACTGCTGTGCCCAAAAGTAGTGGGACAAAGCAGTGTGCTTCCAGGCCTCTAGAAGGAGCAGAGAGCTCTGAGTGTATAGCCTGTCCTCTAAGGCACCGGACCATCCCCCTGTGATGTCACGTCCGCCTCATGTGCATTTCAAGCTGGCCCTGGCACTTCCGGTTGGCAAGCGGCATCCTGGCATCTCTCCGTCTCTCCATCCATGGCGCCAGACCCACATGGCTGACAGTGACCATTATCGGTGATAAGTGACATTTTATTTCTTTCTTGTGAGTGTTTAACATCGCTTGCTTAATACATTTTCTTCTTCTTGTCTTCCACATACAGAGCTGGTATACTCTGATGATGGCTTTATGGAATTATAGAAAAAATATTTTCCAGTTTTATTCCTGTTTTTGGGTGGGGGGGTTGCAAGTAGCTGGTGTTGCCTAGGGCACAAAATAGTCTAGCTCCGGTCCTGCTTTCAGCCAATATTATCCCCTTTCCGCCTAACATACGTAAATATGTGGCCCCAGTGGACTGGGCTTTTTCCATGGGGCCACATATTTGGGTATATGTCTTTGTTCTGGGAGCGCACCACTCGACGGGCTTCCAGCACAGAGACTGGGGTCTCACCGACAGCCCCAAGTCCCGTACCAACGATCGGGACCCGGAACTGCTGATTCCAGGTCACCTGATCTCTGTGATAGTCTCTGATTGGCTACCACAGTGATTAGTCACTGTGAAGCCCGCCCCCGTGTTTTCTCTCTCTAAATGAAGGAGAGAGACACATTGTATCGCTCTCCTTTCAGAGAGAAAAAAACCAACAGTGTGTAAAATAATAATAATAACAAAAGAAAAAAAAATACCTAGATCAAGGTTTGATTTAGGTCAGTGCCAGGGTAAGTGTCTGGGTCAAGGCCATCATTTTTTGGGGCAGGACTTTAAAAAAAATGTTTTTAATTAGTATCAGTGTCAGGTAATGTCAGTGCGTTTTCGGTAGGATTAAAAAAAGCAACATTTGCATTATTGTTTCTGAGCTGTGCTATGGGTACAAACAACTAACATACACATAGGTAGTATCGCTGCGATCGTCAGGAGCAGGAACATTTTTTGGGTTGTTCTTTGGTGGTAGATTATTTACAGCTAAATTTACAGAATTTGCAGAAATTTACAGCTAAATTTAAAAAAAATTTTTTTTTTACTATTTTGGACCATTTTTCCTTTGACAATAAGAAAATCAGGAGATATCCATTACCCTGTACCACCAAATGAGCGCCCGATTTATTCTGAAAAAAAAAAACAAGTTATAATCCACCTGGCTGTACAGAGTAGTTGTGGTGATATGTACAGTTTTACTAACACATGTCAAAGTTGCAAAATTGTGGTTAGGCGTTAGCATTTGTTTTACCCTAAGGCGCAAAGGGGTTCAGAAAGAAATTGGCACGGGGAGTTCATTGATTTGCCTTTGTTACTCCCAACTTCAAAATAATTTATTGTTAAAAATAAACAAGTCTGATGAGGGTAGTGTTGCCTTTAACTACTTCCCGTCCAGCCCATGTACATAAACGGTCAGACGGAAGCAGTGTCGAAGTGGGTGGCCGTTTCTAAACGGCTCCCACATTCATTGCCTGTGCCCGCTCCCTGGGAGCGTGCGGTACCGCGATCCGGACACAGTGGAACACCGATCGATGTACTGTGTGAGGTCCCGATTCATGTGATCACTGATTGGCCAATCAGTGATCACATGAATAGTAGTAAGCAACATGTCACTTTCAGACATCATTGCTTACTACTTGTGAAATCTGTGAATGATCACAGAAGTCAAATGGTACAAGGCTATTCACAACAGCCTTGTACCATGTGATAAGCTGTGACCAATCACGGCTCTCACAGTATTTCTTAATGGCTGCAAGAATACATGCAGAGGGAAGGAGAAATTATTGCTTTTACAGCCTTTATGGGTGTTAAAAGTAATCAGTGCAAAAAAAGAAAAAAAATATCCATCACCTCCACAAGTAGTACAGTGTCACTATGATGACACTGTACTGCTAGGGTGACAGTATGTAAAAAAAAAAAACACAAATAATAATATAACAAAAAAATAAAAATGTAAAACACATTTTTGAAAAATTATAATTTGTGATTATATACTAATTTGGGTTATTTTTGTTTTTACTAAAAAGATATCTGAATACATTTTGACCAGAAAAACACCTTTTTTTCAAAATGTTTGGATTTTTCCTTTATATAGCAAAAAAATAAAAATCTCAGGGTTTAATAAATACCATCAAAATAAAGTTTTATCTGTCTCAAAAAAATGCTAAAAAATTCATATGTGTACAGTGTTGCATGACCGCGCAATTGTCATTCAAAGTGTGATGGCACTGAAAGCTGAAAATTGGCCTGAACAGGAAGGGGGTGAAAGTGTCCGGACTTGAAGTGGTTAACCAGAAATTTTTAAAAAACTGGTTACAGAATTTTTGCATCTATTCAAGTAAAATTTGTGAAAAGTTTCCTGAGAAATGTCAAGGTCTTTTTCAATATATAGATACAGTTTCTGAGGCATACAACAATTTTGAAGGCTTTTCTTTTTTTTTTTTTAACAATGAATCCTTCAGGCAGAAATTAGCCATAAATCTAAGATAGGGTACAAAAAGATGGGTCTCTGGGTTAATTTTTTTTCTGCCTCAAAGATCGTAATGCAAGCCATAGACGGTTCGAACATCGGTCGATTTTTCGTCCGAAAGAATAATCGTGGTTCCTCCTCATTTCGTTATCGGGCATGCTTGAAAATTCGTGAAAAATGGCTGATTTTCGAAATCATTGGTGGTAACATTGGATTAGAGAATGAACGATGTTTCATTTTTCGGACGAAAAATCGGCCAATGTTCGAACCGTCTATGGCCTGCATTAGTCTTTACGCAACCTATTAATAATGTTGAAACTGTGCCATCTGTCTACAAAACGGGAATTTGTTATTCTATTTAAATGATAGGCAACGTACAGTAAGTGTTCAAACTCTTGCAGGTATGGGCATGAATGTACTTATTGTTTAGAAGTTCGCCCAGTATCAAAATGTTTTCAATAATGGCTATAGAAAATCAGCACCAAGGGAGGGAGCTGTTTCTGGAAGGTGGCATTCATGGTGAAGCTGGAAAGAATTTTGCCATTCAGTTATACCCAAATTGGAAGATGGATCAATTGTTAAAGTGTTACTAAACCCACAACAGTAAAATCAGTCTGTATATGCAGTAAAGCATGTTTGTTATACTCACTGTGGAACCGAAGGGGTTAATCCTCTGCATTGTGTAAAAAGGATGTTTGATCCTCTTATCTCTATTCCTCTTCTTCTTCCAGTGTCTCCTAAATATTTCCTGATAGAACAGAGGCTCTAGGGCAGGCTGCACATGTTCAGTTTGATGTGTATTGGTAGAGAGTTTTATTTTTTTTTTTCTTGGGAGAGTGCATGTGATCAGCTCAGGGCCAATCAGCACTGTCCAGACAAACATCAGGGGTCCTGCATCCTTCTGCAGGAGCATGAAAACTCTTCCTACATGCTCCACTGGACACTGATATGAGTCACATGCAGGGGCGGACTGACCATTTGGAAACTCGGGCACTGCCCGAGGGCCCGGGGTCAGTAGGGGGCCCCATGAGATGCCCCTGGTACCTTTTTCATAGGCTTTTTTTTGAGTTTGGGCAAGGACACAGGGGCCCCATGATCCCCTATTGCCCAGGGGCCCCATGAGTTGTCAGTCCGCCCCTGGTCACATGACTGCTCTAATTGCTGATGAGAAAAGGTATTTAGCAGTTTATATTTATAAAATAATTGCATTTCCAGTACTGTGGGAGACCAGATATAGTGAATGCAGGGTCCTGGGTTTAGTAACACTTTAACGATTTTAGCAAAAGTTTTTTCCTTACCGAGGTTTGATGGTACCGGTTGCACAATTGTTAATAATTTAAATTTTGCAAAAAGTGTAGCTGTTATAGTTAGAGAAAACATTTTAAAAGAGACAAAGGCAGAGTTGCAGGCTCTTTTGATACACCATCTTTTTATTCATTTTAGAATATTCCTCTTATGAGTAGTTCTCAAAAAAAAGAAGAAATCCTATAGAATAATTTATCTGTCTTTTCCAAAAGGTGATTCATTAAATGATCAAATAGATGATGAATTATCAGTAATGTACACATCTTTTCATGAAACTTTGACAAAAATTAGTCTTTTAGGGAAAGATTTCTTTACTAGTTAATGTAAACATAAAGTTGGAGTTTATATTACTTCCAATTAATCTACAGTGTTTCAAGTGCCCATTCATTTGGTTTGAACCACATCCAATCTGCATGACATATGAAATAACATTACTTCCTATGGTGCCTGTTCACATATGTTCGGTGCACTGGCGGTGCAGATTCAGTGCGGTTTTAAAAAGAGTCATGTATGATTTCTGACCAGTGCGGTCCAGTTCAAGTGCGGATTGCAGGCTATTGACTTCTATGGGAACCGTTCCTAAAACTGCATATGTGTGAGCAGGATAATGCTGAGCTAATCCTGTCCTGAACCTGATGTAAATCTGACATGAACCTGTGAACAACTACTGCACCAATTAGCTGTGAAACCTGAGCTTCAATCCGCACTGCACATGTGTGAATCAGCTCTAACTCTTTAGGATTTCTATTTTGATGATATGTTTTTCTTTTACAGATGCCTCCCTGTGCAATGTTCTACTACTTGTGTGGAATATTTGGGCATCACAATTGACACTAGAAATATGTAGTTCAAGCTGCTTGATAAAAAGGGTAGTAGATCAGAAATGTTACTGCTTTCAATCATTAGAAAGAGAAAGTTCATTTTAAAATAGATGCAGTCTCTTTTGCGCCTTTTAGTTTTTGCCACTACAGGCGTAGGAATGCATTGAAAACCAATTAATCCATTTCAGAGATCAGAAAAAAGTTTAAAAAAGTTCAAAACTCTTTTTAAAGTGCATTTTAAAGACATAAATACAATACAGGGACATGATTAAAAATTAATTTGTAAATGCATTGAAAACCAATTAATCCGTTCCGGAGGTCAGAAAAAAGTAAAAAAAAAAAGAAAGACATAAATACAATACAGGGACATGATTAAAAATTAATTTGTAAATGCATTGAAAACCAATTAATCCGTTCCGGAGGTCAGAAAAAAGTAAAAAAAAAAAAGTCTTATCTGTTCAAAACTCTTTATAAAGTGCACTTTAAAGGCATACATATTGTACAGGGACATGCTTAAAAAAAATCATAAATGCATTGAAAACCAATTAATCCATTTGTATTGCAAAACAAATTTGTAAACCGAGGCATTATTTTCAATGGATTTTCATTCGGAAACCGAAAATTACATTAACCGAGGCGTTCGTAAACTGAGGTACGCCTGTAGAATTTTACCAGTTGACCAAATTTCTAAGCATTTATACTTTTCAATTTCAGGTTTAAAATGGCCCCATCCACACATTAGGATCAACAGTAATATTAGGTAGGATATTATTATATGGTATAACATTTTAGATCATTTGGACATTCCGTTTGACAGTGTGAGTTTATTTTAGACAAGGATTTTTGTCTTTTCACAGATGTAGCAGTATCTCCTATAATTGTATAAATTGCTTGTAAATATAATTGGTGAGAATATTAGGAAATCAATGGCACCATCTACTTGGGCAGGATACTCATATGCCTGCTTTTTGTGGTTTAGTTTAACAGAAATGCTTGAATGTGCTCAAATGAGATCATCTGCATTTGTCTTCCCATTCTTTTCAAATCAGGGCAGACACACAGGTGTCTAGAATAGATTTGGAAGCCGGTACTGTTAAGAAACTAGGCAGATGGAATTCTATTAGCTATAAATGATATATTCGCCCTAATGCCTGGTACACACTGCTAGTTTTTTTTTTTTTCATTCAACCCAGCAGGCTGCACAAAAAAAAAACTGAGAGATTGCTGTACCAGCAAAAGCAATTTTGGTGTGGAGATTTCCCCCCCCCTCAGAACACACCGATCAACATTGGCAGCCATTGGTTGCCAGCGCTAATTGGATTCTGCGTTTCCAGCATGTCCTTTTGACAAATGCCAGTCATTAGACTGGCTTCTTATGGAGAGACAGCTGTACACATTGACCAAATGTCGGCCACTTTAGCAAGAACCCAGTGTGCCCAGCTTACAACATTGATTTGAATCATCATTTCAGGTCAGTCCTGCATTATTTGGATTGTTCGACATTTCATCATATTTTGAGCTTAGAGGAGAGCAACAAGAAAGCTGTACTAAAAAAATTAGCCTTGCTTTTTTTTTTATTTAAAAAGACTTGTATATTTAAAGTATTTTGGGGTGGTAGAAAGGGTATGGCATGGGAGCATTGAGTTTTTGAGATAGGTAGGTTGCATCAAATTTGGCCACCCCCTGATATCTTAATATTTCATTTGGGGGGAAATGACATAAGCTAACTAAAACAGATGACCTAATTTTCAATATTACAGTCATTGTTTTTACTAGTACAGTCAATGTTTTTTCAAAAATTATCCCCAGGCTTCGCTGGATTGATTCCCCCATTTCTTTTCTTATCTCCTCTGGCCATTCAAGGAAAACAGATGATTCGATCTCCTCCTACTTCTTGACGTTCTAACTCACCCCTGTGCCCATGTGACACTGAGCATCATCTGTGTAAATGAAAAATATTGGAGGCGTCAGGAGGCATTTGTGAGGCCCTGGCTATATTACCAGCACCTCTAGAGACCAGGAAATGCAATGTACAGTGAAGGAAATACATATTTGATCCCTTGCTGATTTTGAATGTTTGCCCACTCACAAAGAAATGATCAGTCTAAAAATCGAATGGTAGGTGTATCTTAACACCGAGAGACAGAATAGCAACAGAAAATTGAAAGGAAATGCATGTCCAACAAATTATGTACTGATTTGCATGTTCGTGAGGGAAATAGGTATATGATCCCCTATCATTCAGCAGGATTTCTGGCTACCAGGTGTCTTTCATACAGGTAACAAGCTGAGATTAGAAGCAGTCTCTTAAAGGGAGTGCTGCTAATCTCATTTTGTTACCTGTATAAAAGACACCTGTCCACAGGAGCAATCAAACAATCAGATTCCAAACTCTCCACCATGGCAAAGACCAAAGAGCTGTCCAAGGATGTCAGGGACAAGATTGTAGACCTACACTAGGCTGGACTGGGCTACCAAAGTATTGCCAAGCAGCTTGGTGAGAAGGTGACAACAGTTGGTGCAATCATTCGCAAATGGAAGAAACACAAAACAACTGTCAGTTTCCCTAGGTCTGGTGCACCATGCAAGGTCTCACCTCGTGGAGTGTCAACGATCATGAGAACAGTGAGGAATCATCCCATAGACTCATCATTTCTTTGTGAGTGGGCAAACATTCAAAATCAGCAGGGGATCAAATACTTATTTCCTTCACTGTAGGTAAATGTAAATAACAGTCAATTCCCTCCATAGTAACTAAGATGATGTGATATCAGCAGCCAACACAATTTTATTTCTGTTGAGGGAGAACTGTCCACTTTAAATTACATAAAATAATAAAACATGCATCCACATTCAGGGCCGGTTCACAATATAGAAACACAGTCCAAATGCATTCTGGATGCATTTCCACATGCACGTTTTTGACGTGTCTGGTGCGTTTTTGATGCATTTTTTACTTGTTCCCATGTGTTTTGTTATGCATTACAGTTCATTTTTCCCCTTTTTCTTCAATTTAAATAGGGACATGTGCGTTCCAGTGCATTTTTCTGCAACCGGAAAGCACTGGAACTGCAATCACTGATGTGAACTATGACATTGACAACCATATAACCTACTTTCTGTACATTTTGGATGCCGAAAAAAAGCAACTGAAACGCATGTAGTGTGAACTGGCCATTAAAGTGATCTTGTCATGACATTCCCTTGAAGTGAAGCAAAAAAGAGCGCACCAACCTTGCGCACCACCTCAGTAAACTATGAATTTATTAAATAAAAAAATATATATAACAAGGAAGTATAACAAGCATAAACAGATCCTCAAAGGAAATTGAAGTGGAGAGCCAGTGTGAGTCACATCATGAGGGTAGACTCTCAAAGTGAGGCTGATGCCTTTCGAAGGGGGACCCTTCTTCTTCAGAGCTCAATGATGGAGAAGGGTCCACCTTCAAAACACGTCAGCATCACTTTGAGAGTCTATACCTAGTGATGTGACTTACACTGGCTCTACACTTCAAATTCCTTTGAGGATCTGTTTATGCTTGTTATACTTCCTTGTTTGTGAGTATATCTATTTTTTATTTAACCTCCCTAGTGGTCTGATTATGTCAGTATTTCTGTGCTCAAAGCGGTACATTTTTTTGCATGCAAATATGTTGTTTTTTTATTGTAGGCCTGTAATTTTTAGGAATAACTCACTGAAATTTGTCCGAACAAGAGTCTAGTAAACTTTGATAAAATTTGAAACACGAAATCATAAATTTTAATATAATAAATAATTATAAAAAATAATAATATAATATGAATACATTTAATTCAATAATATAATCAAACCAAGAACACAAATTTGAAAATAGAGCGCCAAGTTCGCACATCACTGAGCTTAGTCGCAAAATCGTTTTCAGTGTCTGATGACGAATTTCTCCACAAATCATTATCACTCAATTCTGCAAGTGATTCTAATTTACTATCGCTGTTCTCTAGCTGGTCTAAAACTGCTTTTGACCTAAAGGGACGCTTTTTGGACACCATGGACGTTTCTCAGTTTCCAGGCAGAAAGAACAGTAAAAATGCAGGCAGGGCACATGACAAAGCACTCGGGACAAAATGTATGTGAAATGGTTTGATACAG